AGTCTCACTTGGTGGAACATGCCACGTATATCCCCACTGATGGCGACTGCGTACTGCCGGAACCGGAGAAGGACTCCTAGTAGTGAGGGACCAAGGGTAGGACCTGGAAGCAACTGCTGGTTAAGAGAGACACCTTGGTATGCAAAGGAACAATTGAAGACCAACCTATATTTGCCGTTATGCTGCACGAGGTGGTGTGGTATGAACCACGACTCCTCGTCTACCTGCTGGCCTTCTGGTGGTACCCTGACGACATACCCTGAGACAAGGAGCTTCTGTATTTCGGCTTCATACACCTTAGCCCTCTTTGGGTCTCTACTCAGGCACTTCTCAGTGTTCCTGAGGCTGGACAGAACAGATTCCGTAGTCCCCTTCAGCGGTGGAGTGTCTGGAGCACGAAGGAGTGGAGTAGCGTAGCGCCAGACTCCGTCAACTTCTACTCGTCGCGTCCTGGTCTCCAACATGTCTGCAGCCATCTGATCCTGTTTAGACCGAGTTATCACTTTCTCGCTGCGAGATGGAAGGACATCGAGCTGCCAGAGTCGCTCGACATGTTGATAGACAGGGTCTCGCAGTGGTGTAAGAGAAGTGAACAAACACTGCGGGGAAGGTACCTGATGTGGGAGCAATCCATCTGGTCCCTGGAGGACCCAACCGAGCTGCGTGCGTACAGCGACTGGTCCGCCCGCTGGTCCCAATCTGATGGGCTCCTTTGGGGTAATCAGAGACGGATAATCGGACCCGATTAAAATTAGGGGTTGGACCCTATCGAAAGATGGAATGGGGATCCCTCTGAGATGGTGATAACATTGCTGGAGCAACTTCTACTCGTCGTGTCCTGGTCTCCAACATGTCTGCAGCCATCTGATCTTGTTTAGACCGAGTTATCACTTTCTCGCTGCGAGATGGAAGGACATCGAGTTCCCAGAGTCGCTCCACATGTTGATAGACAGGGTCTCGCAGTGGTGTAAGAGAAGTGAACAAACACTGCGGGGAAGGTACCTGATGTGGGAGCAATCCATCTGGTACCTGGAGGACCCAACCGAGCTGCGTGTGTACAGCGACTGGTCCGCCCACTGGTCCCAATCTGATGGGCTCCTTTGGGGTAATCAGAGACGGATAATCGGACCCGATTAAAATTAGGAGTTGGACCCTATAAAAAGATGGAATGGGGATCCCTCTGAGATGGTGATAACATTGCTGGAGCCTCTTGACAGGGTAGGTTTGCTCAGTTAGCGTGAGGAGAGGTGCAGTGAAGACACCCTTAAGGCTGTGCTTCTCCTCTGGCCTTGACTGCGGGGAAAGCAGCAGGTCAATTGACTGCCTCTTCAGTTCTGTGATGTCATGTCGGATGGTGTGAAGGGCCATAATCTCTTCCCTTCCCTCAATTCCTAGCTGCTGGACTGCTGCAGGAAGGATGATACTCTGCTGAGCCCCATCGTCCAGGATAGCGTAGGTCGAAACAGACCTCTTGCCTCTCCACAGAAGTACTGGAACTACTTTCAGGTACACACGACCCGTCAAACTAGGAGAAGTAAGATATGATCGCTCGTGAGATGTTGTCAGCAGCACACTGTTAGGACCATCCTGAGCAATGGAATGCAGGACTCCGAGATGTATATTACCACAGTCCCTGCAGGGCTTCCTCAATGTACATTCCTCCCATTTATGACTTGTGCGCCCACATTTCCAGCATCTTTTCCCATCCTTTATCCACTTTAGAATCTGATCAGGTGAGCAACTCAGTGATTTTGCTACACTGCGACAGGTAATGCTCCTGACTCTTACAGAACAGACACAAACGCTTCAGTCTCCTGGCTGATGACTGAGCGTGAGCAGCATCGGTACGGACCAACTGCCCTGTGCTAGCTTCCATGGGCTGATCACTGCCATGATAGACTGCAGTGGCTCGAGTCTGGGGCTTAGGAACAGATTGGCGATCCTTACATGAGACCTGTACTCTTTCGGTCTGGTAGCGCTGCACCATCTCGAACGATAAACATTGCGCTTCCTCCTTGACCTTCAACAAGTCAGCAAGGTCATGCAGGTTATATGAGTTGAGGCTGTCAGTGTGCAAATGGCCTCGCAACTGTAAGTGCTCTATAAAGCTGTCTCGGTAGTGTTTGGGCAATTTACTGAGTAGTCTGTCGACATGCCCCGTACAAGAGAGCTCTCGCCCCTGTGGACCCTCGAGTGACATCAGCATACCAACTAGCAAGTCAACATTGAGTGCAAAACTCTGAAAGGCCTTTGCATCCCCAACTCTAATATCAGGTGAATTCAGCAGGGCTGCGATCTCGCTTTGTGCCAGTTGATGAGGCTGGCCATACTGTCGTTGCAACACTATCATCGCTGCTGTATAGGATGCAGGATAATGGCGACATGCTTGGGCGATCAACCTAGCTTCCTCGAGAACCAACTGCTTCATCCCTGTACTTATAGTGCTCGGTAAGCTCTGTGTGAGGATTGAGAAGATTATCCAAGGCCATCTTCAGGTCTGTGAACTCCCTCTCACTATCATTCACGAGCTTAGGCAAGGCTGGAATAGGAACTGGTTGTAGCGGGGGTGTAACGGGCATAGGCTGGTAAACCGGAAGAGGAGGTGGTGGCTGGTGAACCACTGAAGGGGGATACCAGGGCTGCACAGGAGTCTGAACGGGAGGCTGAGCAGGGTGATACCCAGTGGTCGGTAGCGGAGGGCGATACGGGTCGGACACAGCAAACGACTGCCGTGTGGATTGGCTTAGCACGTGAGCCTGTAACTGATATACAGGGGGCACTAGGCGTCTGTACGTTGTAGTGGTCAAAGGCAGCTTCACTGATGTAACAGTATGTGGCAGTGATGAGGTAACCTGACATGCAGGATCTGCTGTGCTGAACAGAACCGCTTGCTGTGGCGGTACATGTGGAACAGATAAAGGGGGAACACCATGGTATGGCAAATTAGTACCATGTGCAGCAGGAGGGGTAGCTTGTGTCATGTGCCACAAAGCTGACTGGTGAGAAATATCGATGTGGGCCATCTGAGCTAGAAATGACTTGCCTAAATGTGGAAGCGGGACAGATGAGACTTCAGTAGCCTTCGGTCTGACCACAGGTGGTGAAATAGCTCTGGCTTGTACATCCGCCTGGAACGTGGGCGATGCATCACCACTGCTGAATGAATCACACTCGGATGGGCTGTGATACCCTGGAGGAGCTACTGAAGAGCTAGGATGACTGACAGATCTCTCAACATCCAACTGATGACTCATAGTGGAACCTTCTCCATACTGCACCAGCGATAGATCACCCATGGGCAGCTGCTCCACAGTCAAGACTGGCTCGGCCTGTCCATTGAGGTTCAACTGCGCTGCTGGAGAATCCATCCTTGGTAGGTGGTAAGAACTGTAGTGAGGCACAGGGTCTGGTATGAGAGACTTCGGCAAGGCTACATCATAAGCTTGCAGACGTGTGGAAAGCTGGCGTGCTCTCGTCTGTGTACGAACAGCATGCGTTGTATCAGGGGAATGAAGCTGGCTCTGTTGCTCCATATCACCGCAGTGAATATAGCATCCGGCTCGAAGGACCAGATGAACGGGACTAATAGATTGGTAGGAGTGTTGATGCTAATCCACCACGGGACTCGGGTAAGAAGTGCGACAGGAGACAGGGCACTGTTCAACTCTTTATCTGAAGTATTTAACTGTTCACAGCAGATGGCACAACATTGCTCCAATTGGATTGGATATTGTACAATTTATGGCCACAAAGTGTTAAATGTGGTCTTTCTGAAATAAACAGAATAAAACAAGCATCAGTTTGCATCTGCTAAATGTAAATTACAGACATGTAAATAACAACTTGCTACTGACACGTTATACATGAATCAACATTACCAGGAAAGGATTAACAGTAGCGAGCATACGCATTTGAATCACCGTACATCTTAAATATAACAACATTATAAACAATGTAAGGTTCGATTACACAAGATGAATATTTAAACAACAACAAAATAAACATCGTCGACTTATAATCAGGAATAATTAAATAAACTTACATTCAATCACGCACATTAACACCTGAAGAAATGGCGGAGCAAGCGGCTAGTGAAAGTAAATCGGAATAGTGGAAACTCACGTCAACTAGCGGCACACATCCATAATAAAAGTCCTTTCACTATAAACATACATAGGGAATTTAGAACACTAATTTTTCACATTTTTACTGTATTTCTGAACAAATAAATGTATACATTTCAAAATCATTAAAAATCTTACCGACCCCAAGCTTTTGACAAGTATTGTGTGTCTCACTGATTTTATTTATTTGAATCAGTTTTAAGTTGACTCATTGAAATGAAATGAATCAAACTTATCAGCTTTAAGTTTGAATATTACAATGTCTGTCTGAACACTGTCATTATGGAATGCCACTGCTGGCAAAATAATAAATAAAAAAATACATAAATAAATATACAAAGAAATCTAAAATAACAAAGATAAATAAATAAATCTACAAGGAAACATAAAAAAAAATAAAACACAATAAATAAATTAAATATTTCTACTTTTATTTCCTTATGTCTAATTGTATTTTTTTATTATTTATACACTCATTTAGTTACACATTTATTTCAAAATGTATATATTTCCATGTGTATTTATAAACTTGTGTATTCTAAACTTCAGACGGAACAATCGAGTTCAGAGTTCTGGCCTAAGCAAGGAAGAAGCTTTGAATTATTTATGCATTTAATTATTTATTTGTTATATTACATTTCTTTGTATATTTATGTATTTATTTATTGACTATTTTGGCAGTTGTGGCATTCCATATGTCATACAAAACACATGACGAGAAAAAATCATGAAACTCCTCAAGTTTAGTAAAGCTGAGAGACAAATAAAACACTTTAAAATCAAATTTAGACATTATTGAGTATATTACCCAGTTCTGCATAACAGCAACACACACTGAGACAGATATTATAAGCTAAATTGTCATTTTAACCTCAGGTGACTCCATCTTCAAGGTTCATTTCTTCACACCAAACTTCTCTCCAGCGGGAGCCGTCGGCTGTTACGACACCAGCATCTGCATGTGTCACGGGGAGTTTGTGACGTATCACAGCCCTCCGCTGGTGTTCGAGCTCAGCGGGGATCCATCAGAGAGCCGTCCGCTCTCACCAGACACTGAGCCGCGGTTGGCAGAGGTGCTGGAGCGGGTCGAACGGGCCGTGACGGAGCACCGCAGAACTCTGACGCCGGTGGAGAGACAGCTGACGTGGGCAAAGGTCCTGTGGAAGCCGTGGCTGCAGCCCTGCTGCGGAACCTTCCCTTTCTGCTCCTGCGAGGAGAGCAACCACACGTCTGCAGGAGCAGAGTGAAGAAACGGACGCCACAGGAGAAAAACATTCAAAAAGACAACTGCAACTTTTTCTCTCACTTGCAAGTTTATATCCCACCGTTCATCATTTTTGCTTGCAATTCTGACTTTTTTCCCTCAGAATTGCAAGTTATAAAACTGCAATTGTGAGTTTTTATATATTGCAATTTTGACTTCAGGGTTTACATCTCGCATTTCTGACATTTTTTAAAGAGAGTTTAAATATCACAATTTTAAAATTTGTCCTCAGAATCGTGAGTTTGTCACAATTGCAAGCTATAAACTCTTAATTGCAAGTTTACATCTTGCAGTTCTTTTTTCCTCAGAAATTGTGTTGTAAAATTACAATTGTGAGTTTATATCTCAAAATTCTGTCTTTTTTTCTCAAAATTGCGAGTTTGTGTCACAACAGCAAGTTATAAACTCTTAATTCTGAGTTTACATCTAGCAATTCTGACATTTTTCTCAGAATTCTGAGTTTATGTATCACAACTTTTGGACTTTTTCTCATAGTTGCGAGTTTACATATCACAATTTTGTACATTTTTCCTCAGAATTGCGAGTTATTAACTCTTAATTGCGAGTTCACATCTTGCAATTGACGTTTTTCCCAAAATTTTTAGACTCTTGACTTGATCGCATGCCAGGTCAGAATTATGAGATGAAATTTTGCATTTCTGAGAAAAACAACTCTGAATTTTGCAATTGGAAGATATAAACTCTTCAGAAAAATAGACTGAATTGTGAGATATAAACTCATAGTTCTGTTTTAATAATTTTATTCTGTGATGGAAATAAGCTTCCACACAGAACTCATGCTGATGCCGAGACGATGTTGTTAGTGCTTCAAAAGAAGGACATTCAGAAGAAGAATCGTTCTCCTGGTGAACATGATGATTTAATATGAAGAGGATCAGTCCTGCTGTACAGCATACTGTCATGCCTTCATTATATATGTCTGAAAGTACAGGATAAAGTCTTACAGTTTGGAAATATTTGTACATTAAATATTAAACAATTTTTGAAGAGTGAAATCATTGATTTTCTTTTATCACAGCATCACAATACAATAGAAGACTTCTGTGATGTTCTGTGGTTTTAGTTGTTTTGTGTTACTTAAAATGTTTCATCCTGTTTGAACAAAATCATCAAAAAAACAAACAAACGGCTGAATATGATATTAATGATTGGCTTTATAAACACTCTCTTGGTGAATTTGTTCTGTCCAGCAGAGGGCGCTGCAGCTGCATACAGAAACTAAACAGACACAGTGGGACACATATTTATTTGATCCCCTGCTGATTTTGTAAGTTTGCCCACTTACAAAGAAATTAAGGTTCTGTGATTTTTATGGTAGGTTTATTTTAATGGATAGAGACAGAATATCAACCAAAAAAATCCAGAAAAAAACACATTATATAAAGGTTAGAGAGTGATTTGCATTTCAGTGAGTGAAATAAGTATTTGATTCCCTACCAACCAGCAAGAATTCTAGCTCCCACAGACTGGTTATGAGCCCATGTGGCACACAGATGAGTCCTGTCACTTTAAGAAGTTACTCCTAATGTCAGCTCGTTAGGTGTATAAGACAAGGTACAGGACGACTTCACCGCACTGAGGGACAGATGGACGGGGGCATGTACTGTAAAATCTTGGACAAGAACCTCCTTCCCTCAGCCAGAACACTGTAGATGGGTCATGGATAACTCTTCAAGGATTACAATGACCCAAAACATACTGCCAAGGCAACAAAGGAGTGGCTCAAGAAGAAGCACATTAAGGTCATGGAGGGGCCTAGCCAGTCTCCAGACCTCAATCCTATAGAAAATCTGTGGAGGGAGCCACACACACACAGGGTATCTCCGGGATTTTTATTCTCAAATTTAAGACTTTAAGACCTTTTTTATGACCTGCACAAATAAAATGAATACCATATGAGCAAGGTAGGGCAATGATGATTTACAGTTCAGATGCAAGTTTTCACAAAGAAAATGGATGAGTCAAAAGTATCAATAATATTAATTAAAAAAAATGATCAATTATTATATTAATTAAACAACATATAAATATATCTTAGTGTCTTAATTGTTCAGATTTTTATAATGCGTTATGGTCTTGTCGATCCACCGCTTCACATTTAAAAACATGGGTTGATTTTCACATTGGTCTGAACAGAAACAGCAGAAGGGCGGATAGAAAATGCAGATTCATTCTCTACCAGCAGGAGGCGCTTTCGGAACAGCAGAAATACATCGGTTTCCCCGGTAACGGCAGTAAACAAAGCAGCAGCACATGACTATGAAACTGCAGCTCATATTTATTCAATGAAATCACAGCTTTTTGAAGATTCATGTCATATTAAGCTTTAAAGAGGTCATATGATGCAATTTCATTTTTTCCTTTCTCTTTGGAGTGTTACAAGCTCTTGGTGCATAAAGAAGATCTGTAAAGTTACAAAGACTAAAGTCTCAAATCCAAAGAGATATTCTTTATAAAAGTTAAGAGTCAGCCACACCTACCTAAAACGCCTCGTTCTAACACGCCCCCACATTAGAGGAAAAACAATAATGTACAGTATGTGGAAAATAATGGTTTTTTTTCTTTAAACCACAAACACATTTCATTACACCAAATACACCAAATAATGTTCTTTTTAGCAGCATCATATGACCCCTTTAACACTCTTGAAATCATAAGACTGTCTTGTATCATTTCAGAGTTTTTATTTATTTTTAATGTCTTTTAAGGACCCGTGGAAACCCTAAGAACATAATTCAGTGCACACATTTCTGTCATGCATTTGGCAAAAAGGTTTTGTTGACCGTCTTTTGCTTCCAAACAATCCAAACATATGGGTTTCTCCTTGAAGTTGCTAAAAAGACCAGCTGTTTACCATCTTGACCAAAAAAATATGATTTTCACTGTCAATTGTTGATTTATTTTTTACTAATGTTAGTGAATGTTGATATTCGAGTGCTCATCCTACTACACTGTAATTAATACGGTCAGCAGTTAGTATTAACACCATAAACTGAGAGCAATCTTTCCGTGACTTACTTATCAAATGTTGTCAAACTGATCATCCAAGCATAAGATGATCCAGCGGCCGAACTTAAAAACACTGCGGGCCGCTAGTTACCCTTCCCTGATTTACCTCAATGAACAAATTGATCAAATTTATCATTTAACCTCTATAACTGAAATAAACAATCATTCATTTAGTCTCATGTTGAACAAATATTGAAATCGTGATATGGATTGAATAATGGAAACATGATGAGTGTAAAAGATGAAAGCAGGTCGATCCAGACCTACAGGTGTAACATTTACTGATTATTGAACGCTAAGATCCTCAGAGAGTCAGGAGTAAAGAAGAAAGGAAAGAGTGTGTGAGTGAAGGTGGTTGTGAATGTGTGTAGATGTGTGTCAGTTTCAGGATCAGAGAATGACACCGTTCCTCTGTCATAGTCCAGATCAACTCTCACACGCTCAAGCTTCTGTTTAACACGAAAACCAAACCGATCAGACAATCTGTACGTCACACTCCAGACATCAGTGTTAAAGAAAACACGTCCCTTCCTCTGGTTTGATGCTGTAGTTACTCCAATAATCCAGCCTGGACTCTCTTTAACCTCCACATCCCAGCAGTGTGTTCCTGAGTTAAAACCCTCTGAACCCAGAACACATGGAAAGATGTTAAATCTCTCTGGATTATCAGGAATCAGTTGATTGTTCCCGCTGCATCTCACACTGGTCAGATCATCAGACAGGACGAGATCTGGACTTGCAGTGTTTGGATCCAGAATCACAGGAGCTGATGAGACACAATCAACAGCTGCTTTTATTCTGATGTTCATATAATGATCAAGAGTGAACCGTACACAGATTATTATGAATTATGACACTCGTCCTATTGATCAAACACATCAGACATTTTCCTCTGATCACTGTCAGTGTTTGTTACAGTAAATATTTTAGATTTGCCAAACTGAATTGAGATCTGCTGTATCACTGTAACTGTAAATATCATGTGGACCAAAGTTGTTCTTCTCTTGTTTTCGGCTCATTTTGGTGTAGTAGCTCATCTGGTTATTCACACATAATGCTGAAATCTGTCAATATTCCCTCATGCGTCATTTCCAGTGTGTGTGTAACAGTACAGATCTTCTCCAGACTCACTGTTTTGGACGATGTCCTGCATCTTCTTCCAGACTCTGAAGGGCAGGTTGCCCAAGTAACGCGGCACATCAATCAAAGCTCCAGAAGGCGTCTGTGGATCCGGCTGTAATGAGATCTGGACTCTGGAAGAACATTCAGGATCAGAACTGCAGTGGCTTTGGATCAGAAGCAGAGAGAGCAGAGACAGCAGCAGATCACTCACCTTTCCATTGAGACTGGAAACTCCTGCAGAACAAACACACCATTGATCGTCAAGAACTCAATCAATCATCAATCAATCAATCAATGGATGATCTGAAATCATACCTTCAGAAAGCAGACGTCACTGGCTTTCATCATCTCCTCCGTGTCTTTGATTGTGTGTGAAAGAGCTGAGATGTGTCTGTTCATCTCCTCCAGCTTCTCCATCATCTGCTTCTTCTGCTCCTCTTCCTCCCTCAGTGCAGTGATTGTAGCTTCTTCTTCATCTCTGAGAAACTGATGAAGCTTCTCAAACCGCTGTTTAATTTGACCCTCTGTGTGCTCAGCTTGAGACTGAAATCAAACCACATTCACTTCAATCATCTCAATCAACAATCAACACATCACATCATTCAGATCCCAGAGAAACTCAGACACCTGACATATAACAGATCAAGAAGCAGATTGCTGCTTGTCATTTACAAAAATAATCAACTGGAATCCATTATATTAAATATAAAATATGATAATTGTGTTCAGTGATGCTAGACCTGTACTGAAAATGACTCTTGATTCTGTTTCCTCACCTTGATGTGTTGAACTGTTTTATCAAACTCTTCTTTCATGCTTT